GGGGGGGGGGGAGCGCAGATCAGATAAGAGTAAAGTTACAGATGTGATAGATATCATGAAGGGAAGGTAAATAGTGCCTTGGGAACACACAACAGCAACGCTAAACTGGTCTGGGAGGTAGGAAGAAAGAGGCAAGGAAGGCTTCTCTGAGAACATGACATTTGAACTGAGATGTATAGGAAGTAAGAGTCAGGCTGAGAGGGTAGGGGATGGAGGTTCTAGGCAGGAGGGAAATCACATGCAGTCACCTTGTGGAAGGAGACGACATGATTTTGTTTTTTAAATCTTTATTGATTTAAAGATCAATAAAGGGAGAGAGAGATTAGAAACATCAGTGGTGAGAGAGTCATTGATCGGCTGTCTCCTACACGTCCCTGACTGGGAATCGAGCCCATAGCCGGGGCATGTGCCCTGACCGGGAATCAAACCGTGATCTCTGGGATCCTAGGTCGATGCTCAACCGCTGAGCCATGCTGGCCAGGCCAACATGATGTTTTTGAGGAATCAAAGAAGGCCAGTGAGGCTGGAGAAACAGAGTGCCGAAGCTGGAGAGGAAGGCAGGGGCTAGACTGAGCAGGACAGTTGAGACCATGTTATAAATTTTGGTCTTAAGGTCTTTATCCTTGATTCGGATTGTTGATGGTAGTACATGTGGAGAGTAGATCAAATCTAGAAATGTTTTCAGAGAGAAAATCGTCAGTACCTAGGGATGGATTGACTGTGGGGAGTGAGGGAGAAGGTAGTGTCAAGTGTGGTACTTTTGCTTCTGGTTTGCACAACAGGATGGCTGGTCATATCATCCCACCAGCCAGTTAAGGGGGTGGGCAAGAGAAACATGAGTGGGCGTGTTAGTTTGAGAAGCCCTTGAGACATCCAAGTGGAGATGTTGAGTAGAAAGAAGTGTACACGTCTGGAGCTCAGATGGAGGTGTGCATTTGGAAACCATTTGTGTATAGGTGGCTATTGATGCTACGGGCATGAATGAATACTATATTGAATGGCGGGTGAGAAAGACAGAAGGGCATAAGAACAAGCTTTGGGAAACTCCAGGTGATAAAGGAAGATGAGCCAGCAAAGGAGCCTAAGAAGCCACCAGAAAGAAACTAGAGTGTAAGAAGAAAACCAGATGTAGCATGTAGAAGCCACAGAGGAAAGTTGGATGAGAGGCCCATGGTGTCAGATTCGCAGAGTACAACCCAGATGAGATCTGTGAGTGTCTGTCGGATCAATTACTTAGGGGCCATGTTGACCTTGCTAAGAGCTGTTAACTGGGGTGTGTTGGGAATGGAAGCAAGATTGGAAATGGTTGAGAAGTGAGTGTGAGGTGAGGAAATGGCTGGTGGAGGGATGTGTGGAAGAGAGAGAGCAGCAAGTAGGATATTGGGTCAAAAAAGATTGGTTTTTAAGTTGGGAGATAGTGGATCCTATTGAGAAGGAGAGGTTTGTTATATAGAAAAGGAAATGGGTAAACAGTGGTGTAAAATTCCTGGAAAGCCATGAAAGGAAGGATCCAAAAGGAGGGTGAAGCAAATGGTTTTAGGAAGGAGAGAAAAGGATAGTTCTTGAAGTCACAAGTTTGCATGTTTGAGGACCTTCCTGACTGATGGCTTCCATTTCTTCTGTGAGTTAGGAGTGGGTGGTCATCCTCCGGGAGGGTGGGGTGGTGGTGGGGTGGCCAAAGGAGAGTTGTGTTCTTTTTTTCTTTTTTTTTAAATATATCTTTATTGATTTCAGAGAGAGGAAGGGAGAGGGAGAGAGAGAGAGAGAAACATCAATGATGAGAGAGTTGTCATTGATCGTCTGCCTCCTGCGCACCCCTGACCATGGAATCCAGCCCTCAACCCAGGCATGTGCCTCGACCCAGAATCAAACCACCATCTCCTGGATCCTAGGTCAATCAATGCTCAACCGCTGAGCCACACCCAGCTGGGCGAGAGTTGTGTTCTTGTCTTAGCTAAAAAGTCCCTTCCTCAGGAAGGTCTTTGCTGATGTCTAAGCTAGAGTAAGCCTCAGGCTCCTGCAGTGTCCTGCGCTTTTCCCATCGTAATATTCAATCATTTATTCAACAAAGAGGGAGTGCTTTTAGGTGCCATATACTATTCTAGATTACATTTTATTGTAATGACTTGTTCAATGACTGTTTCACCACTAGACTGTGAGTCCCACTGGGGAGGAACCATTTCTTTATTATTCATCACTCCCCTCCTTGCCATGCAAAGTGCCTGGCATATAATAAGCTGCCAGGTTAGAAGACCCTTGACCTTGAGCAGGATCCCCCCACCCCCATTGTCTGATATCAGCTTCCTCAGGCTTAGTGGCTACTCATAGTTTCTGCCTTGAATTTCTTGCCCAGCTCCCTGCCTTGAACCAGAATCCATTTGACTCTTTCCATCCTTTGAGGGGCTCCAGGTATAGATAATCCCAATGAGAGGGGAGAGGTTGGATTGTGTCCCTTATGGAAGATATTGGGCAGCTGGTTATCCTTTGATCTCAAAGGCAGTGTGGTCTCCACCTCAGAACTTCCCCATTCCTTTCTGCCCTGGTGACCAGAGATGGACAGGGCTGCCCTGAGGTCAGTCTGGCTCTTCACTGTCCCAGCCTTACAGTGTATGTGCCCTTCCCAGATCACAATTCCAAGCGCTAAGGAGGCTGGTTCCAGCCTGACCTCTGCAAAACCTGGCTTCATATGCCACTGCTTCAAGGAAGGGCTCAACATGAGTTTGCGAGAGTCAGGGGTCGCCCACCTGCTGAGACTCATGGAAATGCCACTCTTGAGCTGCGTAAGAGCCAGGATGTTGGTTTAAGCTAACTCCCTCTCTCTCTTTTCCCCTAGATCTCAGCCCACACCTGTCCTGTACCCCAGGCCCATCTTACTTCCTTCTCAGGTACCCTTTGTCATTCTCCAGCACCCTCTCTACACTCCCATTGCCCATACTCAGCCCGTGGGGCCACACAAGCCTGTCTCAGTGTCTTTTCCCAGTGAGTTTCGAGCTTCCTAGTTTCTCTTCCACAGAGGGCCTTCCACAGAGGGCCCACTCTGTGGTGGATGCACAGTGCACTCTCATTGTTAGTGGGAATGTGAAGTTGAGCTAAGACATGACTCTGACGTTGATAGAGTGCAGTACTGGGTACTGAGATACAAAGGAGGGCATGGTCACTTGAGGATGGGGAGAGAGGACTGAACAGGAAAGACTAACTGCTTAGGAGCTGTGACCACTGAGCCAAGTTCTGAAACATGAAGCAGAGGTTCTCGCAAGGGGAGACAGAATTCCAAGCCGAGGGCAAACAAAGAGCCAGGGCTGTGAGAGTGTGGCATGTTTCTAGAATCCACCGTACATCCTGTGGCTGGAGGGTAAGATGTGAAGGAGGCAGGGAGGAGAAGGAGGTCCAAGAGGTAGTCAGGATTGGCTCAGGAGGCTCTTGGTGCCTTGCTAGTGAGCACGGATGTTTTATTCTAAAGGCAGTGGTGAGCCATCCAATTTTTCTGAGGAATTACACAATCTGGTTTCCATTTTTGGAAGATTACTGTGAATTTGGGTTGAGGCAGAGCCCTTTATTTTTCTCAGTTGCGCCAGTGACCGCGAATTTTCTCATTGCCCAGGTGGAGCCATGCTGAGCAGACCAGCAGTTACACGTGAGGCAGACACAGACAGGAGCCTTTCCCCATTTATTTCACAGAAGCGTGCTTAGCATTGTGCTAGGGTCTGAGGAGCAAGAAGGGACAGAAAGGTGAGCTATGGCTCCTGCCTCAGGGCCACCACACCTGAGAGATGGAAGAGCCTTGCTCGTCAGCCTAAAGCACCTCTGCAACCCTTACTCAGAGCTCAGGGCCACACTGAAGTGGCAGAGAGACCTGGGCAGAAGGGTTGGGGAATGAAAGGACTTCTTAGTGGGGAACAGAGAGCTCTCAGATGAGAAATTAAGGAGAAAGAACCGTACAGTGGGAGTCAGAGAGAAAGGTGAGCACTTGGGGGCCAGTCACTGAGGGAGAGTTGTGTTGGGGGAAGGGTCAAGTAGGAAGAGAGCTCTGAGGGAGAGTATCAGGGAAGGGGAGGGTAATATGGTAGGGGCTGTCTATGAGGGCAGGATGAGAGAGTTGGGAAGTTGTTGGTCAGGGAGCATGAGCTGTGATGGGGACCAGTGAGGGTCCAGTGAGCGAGCACTTTGTAGTGGGGTCAGGGAAGGAGAGTGGCCCAGTCGTGGAAGGTCAGGGAGAACGGGAGGAAGGCCTGGGGATTGAGGGTGGGGTCACTGGGGCGATGGGCTGGAAGGATAGGCAGGTGTAGAAGGTGATCCATGAGGACTTGGGAGGAGGGAGGAGGGGTCTGAGGGGACAGGAGGCATGGGCTTCACTGTGGAACAGGGGGTCCCCTCAGCGGGAGGGCAGGTTGAGTGTGTTTGGTGTACCATGAGTACTGTGAGACACAGTAACAAGATCAGAGTGTGTTTTCTGAAACTGGCAGAGGAGATGTTAAAATGGGGCCTGGAGGAGGTGGGAGGACACATTCCCACATTAATACTGCAACTATTAATGGAGTCCCTGTTCTGCGCCAGGACTGTGTTAAGCTCTAGGAATACTATATTGAAAAAAAAGACAAAATTCTCACCACATGGAACTGAAATTATTGTATGAGGAGACAATGACTTATAAAAAGCAAAATAGCTCTGGTCAGTGTGGCTCAGTTAGTTGGAATGTGATCCTGTACACCAGAAGGTGGCAAGTTCAAATGCTAGTTAGGGCACATAACCAGGTCAGGGAATGTGCAGGAGGCAACTGATCAATGTTTCTCTCTCACGTTGATGCTTCTTTCTCTCCCTTTCTCTCTCTAAAATCAATTAAAAAAATTAAAATTAGAAAGCAATAATAGTAGTAGTAATAATAACAATAATGATAGCTTCTCAGATGGTGCTAGGTGCTAGGGGAGATTTAGGGATTGCTGAGAGGGGGCATGGTGGCCTGCAGTTTTAAAAGGGTATTCAGGAAGGTCTCACTGAGAAGGTGACATTTGGGCAAAGACCTGAGGGGTTGGAGGGTCCATGTCAAGGACTCCTGCCATGGCCCAGGCTTGGGGGGTTATTATAGGGGCTGGCAGAGGAACTGGTGCCTGAGGTGAGATACTTTATAGAAACAGTCACTGAAATGTAGCTTCAACTGGCCAAAGGAGCCATGAAGTGCAGCTGAAGGCCTTCCTTTGTGACCTGCCTTCCATGGGCCCTGCCCTGAGGGCTGAATCTGTAGCAATTTCTGTCCTGACCTCACAGTCCCTAGTAGGGGGTGGGCTTGGGGGCTGGTTGAGCCCAGTGACTTATTTCTTTATATTTCTTTTTAAATTAAATGTATTGGGGTGACATTGGTTAATAGGATCTTATAGGTTTCAGGTGTGGATTTCTATATTACAAGATCTGCAAATTACACTGTGTGCCCACCATGGGCCCAGTGACTTATGATGATAGGATCACAGCCTGGGGAGCTCAAAAGTGGGACTGTGGATAGGAGTATGGCAGGAGGAAGGGGGCAGTCAGTGTCCAGTGTCCGGAACACATGAGCCAGGTCCATGCCAACTGTGTCCCTGGCACAATGAGCCCCAGTTGGATGAGCTGGGGGTGGGGATGCACAGAGAGCCATTGTGTGAAGGCTCTTATGTTGGGATTGAGAGAAAGGCAGAGGTTGGCTGTGCTCTCCCGGGAAGCTCGGGGGATTTGGGGATGGAGTGGACTGCGGGCCTGGGCCTAGCCTGCAATAGGGGTGGTGGTGATGATGGGGGACAGGAGTTAAGCTCAGTCATGCTTATGGGAAAATAGCTCATAGGACACGGAGCAGTGTGTGCTGGCCTGCATAGTGTAAGGGAGATAAAGAGGTACAGGGCTCAGCCTTGGGGCAGAGGCAGGGGTGCTGCTATCCTGACCTGGAGGCTAAACATGGTCTTCCCTTCCTCCCAACCCCCACCCCCTGCCCTGCAGGATCTGCCAAGGCCATGTCTGTTCCGTCATCACTGAGCCAGTCGGCCATTAACGCCAACAGCCACGGAGGCCCCGCCCTGAGCCTACCCCTACCCCTGCACGCTGCCCACAACCAGCTGCTCAACGCCAAGCTGCAGGTCACAGCCGTGGGACCCAAAGACCTGCGCAGTGCCATGGGGGAGGGTGGTGGGCCTGAGCCGGGCCCTGCCAATGCCAAGTGGCTAAAGGAGGGCCAGAACCAGCTCCGGCGGGCTGCCACAGCCCACCGTGACCAGAACCGAAATGTGACCTTGACCCTGGCAGAGGAGGCCAGCCAGGAGCCTGAGACGGCACCCTTGGGCCCCAAAGGCCTGATGCACCTGTACTCTGAGCTGGAGCTTTCTGCCCACAATGCGGCCAACCGAGGGCTCCGAGGACCCGACCTGATCATCAGCACCCAAGATCAGGGGCCAGATGAGGGAGAAGAGAAGGCAGCGGGGGAGGCCGAGGAAGATGATGAGGAAGAGGAGGAGGAGGAGGAGGAGGACTTGTCTTCTCCCCCAGGGCTGCCCGATCCCCTGGAGAGTGTGGAGGTGCCCCCTGGACCCCAGGCCCTTGCAGACGGCCCCCGGGAGCACAGCAAGAGTGCCAGCCTCCTGTTTGGCATGCGGAACAGTGCAGCCAGTGACGAGGACTCGAGCTGGGCCACCTTATCTCAGGGCAGCCCCTCCTATGGCTCCCCTGAGGACACAGGTACCTTGTGGAGATTGACACCGGGAATGTGGGAGGGCAAGAGGCCAGAGGGCAGACTTCTCCATACAGGCCAGGGCCAGCCTGGGTGTGTCTCAGAACGCACGTCCTCAGTACTCAGCAGGCCATGCCCAGGTTTTCCTGAAGGAAGCCATCCCTACTTTCAGAGAGAGCTTGAACAGGTTGATCTGTCCATCCATCATGCATACCCTGACTGACAGCAGACTAGGTCCATTTATGGGGCATTTACCAGGCACTGGCCCTGTGCTCAGCACTATTGTGTTTAATCTTCACAATGCTGTGAGGTTGATACTGTTTTGTGCCCATATTATGGATGATGAAAATGAGGCCTGGGGAGATTTAATACCTTTCCCAAAATCTCAGAGTCTGAGATCATAGTAGAACTGAGATCTAACGCAGGTCTGAGCCCTGGCTGGTTTGGCACAGTGGTTAGAGCATCGGCCCACAGACTGAAGGGTCCAGGTTTTGATTCTGGCCAAGGGCACGTACCTCGGTTGCAGGCTCCATCCCTTGCCCTGGTAGGAGCACGTGCAGGAGGCAACCAGTTGATATATCTCTCTCTCCCTTCCACTCTCTCTGAAAAGCAATGGAAAAAATATCCCCAGGTGAGAATAAAAAATTAGTAAATAAACCAGACCAGACCTGAGCTCTGGGCTCCGGGCCCTGGGTTCGCCTGCTGTTGATACACACAGCACAGTGAGCCACGGTGCCTTGGGCCAGATTTCAATAGGCCAGGTCTAGAGGGCCAGCAGCACCTTCCCACAGAGGTCTGTTTGGAAAGACGGGTGTGTTGTGTGCAACACGCTGGGCATTGCAAGGACCCTGTTTTGAATCCTTTGTATCAGGAATAGGATATTTACTAAGTTAGGAAGCAAAGGAAGAATAAACATGCTTCTTTGGGGGTTGGGGGGCGGGGGAAGAATAGATATTCAGACTCCAAGGATGATCATTAAATGTGTCCCTTTTAAATAAGTTGTATCTCCACATTTGCTAATAATACATAAGAGGTGCAGGCAGAGCTGAGAGCACAGGGCAGAGATAATGGGCTGTAGCCACAAGCTGGGCATTTGGAGGATGGGGGTGTAAGTAAAGATTAGGAAAGACTCCCCCGCACCAGGCAGCAGGCAGCAGGCACCAGACTCAGACCCCAAGCTGTGGAACCTTTGCAGGGAGCATGTGGTTCAGGTGAGCCAAGGGCTGCACACTGTCCCCTTTCAAAACTCTTGTTATGGACACTTTCAAACATACAAAAGCAGAGCAAACAGAGTAACAAACCTGATCCTACCTAGGACCCAGTTTCAGTGATTTTAAACAACTGGCTAAGCTTGCCGCATCTGTACTCCACCCCCACCTACTCCTGGGCCCCAGCCTAGGTTATTTTGAAGCAAACATTTTCATCCATAAATGTTTGCCCATACATTTCTAAGAAATAAAACTCTTTAAAAATTCACAATACCATTATCACGTCTACAGAAATTTAGCGATAGTTCTTTAATATCATCAGTTATTTAGTGAATGTTTACATTTTCCCAGTTGTCTAATAAATATCCTCCTTGCCTTTTAAAAAACTTTTATTATTTGAGTCAATATCCAAATAGGTCCATACCTTTTGATGGTTGATATGTCTCTCTAATTTTCTTTTGATGTCTATGTTATCCCTCCACCTCTCTGACTTTATTTTTGCTTGCAGTTGTTTTTTAATGGAAGCTGCTGTGGTGTCTGCTCTGGGTTTTGTATGGTCGGGTTTTGCACTTCCTCTCCCTATGGTGGTGCTGAACATGTTCCCTTCCCCCAGGGTTCCTGTAAATTGGCAGTGAGTTCTATAGCCTTGATCAGATTCAGATTTGAGAGTTTTTTGCGTTTGGTTTTTGCAAGGACACTTTATAGGTGGCATTGAGTTCTTCTATCAAAGGCAAAGTCTGATTGCCTCTTTCTTTTGTGATGTCAGTGGCCTTCGGTGGTCATTGCCTGGACCCCCTCTAAAGGGAACAGCTGCTCTTCCAGCCCAGCTCTTTATTTATAGGGTTGGGTTTGGGAGAATGTAATCTCAGTGGAGCCAGTTCTTATAACTTTTCAAAGGAAACTGAAACCTAGATATTGATGTAAACTATTCCAGATTCTAAATGTTAACATTGCTGTTATTAAAAAAAATACCTTGCAGGCCTCACAAAATCGCTCTGAGGCTTGCACCTGTTTCCAGGTTGCTGGTTTGCAATCTCTGCCCTTGGAATGGGAGTCAGAGGCAAAACAATGGAGAGGGCTCCTGGGATGTGGTAGCCACACCTATGAACCTTCTGGGATAAGAAGATAGAACTGCTGGAGACCTGAGGAAGTTATGCCAGGCATGGGCAGTGACCTTAGCAAGGGCATTGGTGTGGCAAGAGGATGGTCAAGGATCACACTGTGGTGGAGGCTATGGAAACTGAGGGTGGCTGTGTGGGGCCAGCCCAGGGAAGGGCTTACTCCTTTGTAATTATGTTGTTATAATCATGAAAGCCACAGAGGAGGTCTAGAATTGAGCAAAAATTATTTTCTCCTTCCTACTTGAGCATCTCCACAAAGCTGTTGATTGAATGCATAAGTGAATGGGCCCTAGCCGGTTTGGCTCAGTGGTTAGAGCGTCGGCCTGCGGACTGAAGGTCCCGGGTGTGATTCCAGCCAAGGGCACATACGTTGGTTGTAGGCTTGATCCCCAGCCCCAGTCGGGGCATGTGCAAGAGGCAACCAATTGATGTGTCTCTCTCACATTGATGTTTCTCTTTCTCTCCCCACCCCCCCACCACCTTCCACTCTCTCTGTAAAGCAATGGACAAAATATCCTCCGATGAGGATTAAAAAAAGGGAAAGTATATAAAAAAAAAGTGAATGAATGAATGAGCAATGAATGAATGAACTTGAGAACCTGCGTGGGGTTCATATTCTCTGCCAGGCCTTGTCCTGAAGGCTGGAAATGCATACTGCAGGGGACAGGTTCCCTGCCCTCATACACTCTCAGTCCAGGGGGGGAGACAGAAGCACACAGGCAGTTAGAATCAGCATGACCCTCGCTGGGACAGGGGAGGTTCATGAGTGGCATCTAACCCTGCCTGTGTGCATGTTGGGGACAGGGGGATGGGCTAGTTTTGAGAAGTAACCTTTACTCTGATGCCTGAAGGAGGAGTTGGTAATAGCCAAGTGAGGATAGAGGGCAGGGAGGTTGGGCTTGGAGAGGAAGAGGGGCATGCCCAAGGCAGGGGGAGAGAGAGAGTAGGGGGTTGGGGGTGGTCAGAGATAAGCCTGAGAGGCTGGTGGTTAGGGACTCCTGACAGCACACAAACCCTGGGGTGGGGGTGGGGGGATTTGGATTCCATCCTGAGGGCAAAGAGAGGACAATTAAGAGTATTAAACTGGCCTGGCCGGGCGTGGCTCAGTGGTTGAGCATGGACACAGGATCTAGGAGATCTCAGTTCAATTTCCGGTCAGGGCACATGCCCGGGTTGCAGGCTCGATCCCGGGTCGGGGGCGTGCAGGGGGCAGCTGATCAATGACGACTCTCTCATCATTGATGTTTCTATCTCTCTCTCTCCCTCTCCCTTCCTCTCTCTGAAATCAATAAAGATATATTTTAAAAAAAAAAAGTATTAAACTGGAGAGTAATTTCATCAGTTGAGCATGTCAGAACAGTTATTGGGGCTGTGATGAGCAGCCCAGACTGGCAGAGACTAGACTAGGGAGAGGCCACTGTGAAGCTGTTGCCATGGTCCAGGTAAGGAGTATTAGTAGCCTGGGTTATGGTAATGACTCGGAGGTAGGTAGCGCTTGGCGGAGATGTGCCAAGCTCCAGAAGGGCCTCCCAGATGGTCAGGGCAGGAGAGCGGCCCCTCCAGGACAGATCGGAAGGAAGAAGCTCTTTGAAGCAGGAAGGTACAGGCTGACGTGGATGGCAGATGGATTGGTGTGTGCGACTCAGTCAGAAGATGGTGACTTGGTCCCCAGGTTCGAGAGGTGTATGACTTTCCAGAAGTGTGTGGCTGTGAAGGGCATGCCTGCCCCGGGTGCTGATGATCTTGGAAGGTTTGGCAGTTGAGCCCAGAAGGCAATGGAAGGTCTCTGGGGAAGAGCTGGCATTTTAATTCCCTAGGGCCTGAGGTTAAGCGTGGGGGTGGGGAGGGAGGTGGCTGTGACCCACTAGAAGGCTGGATGGGCAGGACGAGCCCCTCCTCTCTGAGCCCACCACATTTGGAAGGTGAGGGTGGTGAGGTACCTGCTCAAGTAACTCTCACCTTAAGTGTGCAGCCACCCTGGTGTAACCACACCCACTCCCAGCCCCCTGTGCCTGGTTGCTCAGCAGCCTGGGTCTGGGGACTGCCTGTCCCTCAGTGCTGCCTCTTGGACCAGTCAGGATTCCTGGTTTCCTTGGTAACGCGAAGCACGTCAGCAGACTGGGCGCTCCCAGCCTGTCCTGGTGCTGCGGTTGCCGAGGAGACGCTGCAGCCTAGCTGGGCCCTGGCAGGTGAGGGGGTTGGTACTGGGAAGCCCCAAGCCCAGCCTCAAGCTTGCTGAGGCCCATGCCCTCAAGGCCCACTCTCAGACTCAAACTGTTGGGCAGGTTCTGGGGAGGGGAGGCATCCCCGGGAACCTTGAAGCCACACCCTGATTGTGCTCAGAGCTCCAGCTTGCAGGGCCCCAGGGGACTGGGGTATTCCCAAGGGGCTGAGCATCCTTGTGCCACTAAGATGGGGCTTGACTGGCACTGAGGTCACCACGGTGGGGTGGCATGGAGATTCAGGATTGGGGGAGGGGAGCCAGGATTAGAAAGAAGAGATGTGAGTAGAAAGGGCTGGGGTCTTATGAGCACCCTCCCTCTTTACCCCAGGAGATCCCCTCCCCTGGTAGTCCTGGCCCCTCCCTAGGTAGCTCCAAGCGGAGGAGGATCTTGCCTGGCAGGCACTCTGCCCTGGTGAGAAGGGGGCGGGATGAGCTTTTCTCTGCAGCCCAGCACCAGGCTGTGAGCCCAGCTGGCTGGGCTGGAGGGGCTGTGAGAAGGGAGGGTGGAGGCAGGAGGGGCTGGCAATGAGCGCCATGTTCTCCCAGGACTTTTTCCTGGCCATCATCCTGCAGGACAGCAGCCCAGGTGAGGGAAGGCACGGGGCTGGGCACAATGTGGGGTGGGGATGGCAGGGAGGGCAGAGGCGGAGGAGGCATGAACTGGGCCGTAGGGATGGAGTGGTGGTGTCAGCCAGGGGAGGGCGAGGTATGTCACAGGTGCACGGAGTGCCAGCACGTGCACAAAATGTTTGCCTGCGTCTGTAAGGGTCAGGGTGTGAGGTCTGCGGCGTCTCACACACGTGGCAAGGGTTGCCGTATGTTGTGTGTCTGAGTATGCATTCAGTATGTGGTACCTGCACATCTGTTGGGGGTCGCTGTGGGTGTGGTCTCTGTACTTGTGTGTGGCCGGCGCTGGTATATATACCTGTGTGTGCACACCTATGTGCATGGTGTCTGCATTAGTGTATGGCTAGAGTTGGTGAGTGTGTTTGCCCATTTTCTGTGTGTACATACCCTTGTGTTTGTGTTGGCTGCACAGGTGTATAGTAGGGCTTGTGTGTGTATGTGCACATGTGTATGCAGGAACTGGCAAGTCTGTGCACCTGAGATATGGATCTGTATGACAGGAGGTCAGTTGGGGTCACCTAACCTCCCTGCCTTCTCTCTGCTTTTCTCCTTCCCTCTATATGGCTTCATTAGCCAGGAGCAGGGCCCAGGAGGAGTCCTGAGCCATGTTCCCTGCTGATGGCCCCCCGTGCGGTCACTCTAGACAGCAGGCTTTCGGGGGAAGAAGGAAGCATGTTGTACTGGAGCCCTTCCCCCATCCCTCTTGTCCACCATGGGGTCTGAGGGAGGGGACTGGGCATGAGCACCCGCTGTCTGCTTGTTGGGTGGGCAGACTCTCACTAAGCCCCCACCTTACAGATTCCTTCTGGAACCCCAACGCCTTCGAGACGGATTCCGACCTGCCGGCTGGATGGATGAGAGTTCAGGACACCTCAGGGACCTACTACTGGCACATCCCGACCGGGACCACCCAGTGGGAGCCCCCTGGCCGGACCTCCCCCTCCCAGGGGAGCAGCCCCCGAGAGGAGTCCCAGGTGAGGCTCACAGGCCTGTTGTATTTTAACTGGGGTGCAGGGGTGGTGCTGCTGGTGCAAGATGAGCCGCCCACTCACTGCTCCTGTTCCCCTCCTAGCTCACCTGGACAGGCTTTGTCCACGGAGAAGGCTTTGAGGATGGAGAGTTTTGGAAGGTGAGTGGGGGGACCTGTTTCACCATGGAGGAGCTGCAGAAGGGGCATGCTTTTGGTCCTGATTCCTCTCTACCCTTCCCAAGGACGAACCCAGTGAGGAGGCCCCAATGGATCTGGGATTGAAGGACCCTGAGGAGGGGACACTGCCCTTCCCGGCTCAGAGCCTTAGGTGAGTGGGAAGGCACTATGCAGTGGGTTGGCAGTGGGCTGGGTCTATTGGGAAGGTACCTGGGGACAGCTCCATATTTGGGGGCCTGTACCAAGTGTTACCATCTGCCTCCAGCCCAGAGCCATTGCCCCAAGAGGAAGAGAAGCTGCCCCAAAGGAATGCCAACCCAGGGACTAAGGTTTGTTCAAGACCAATGCCCATTCCCCAGGCTGGGGCCCCTCTGTGTGCAGGAAGGCCCCTCGTGTCATGTCCTGGGGGGCATCTCTGGTCTCAGTACAGCTCCCCAGGTCCTGAGTTAGGGTTCTCCACACAGACCCCTGTGTCTGAGCTGGAGGTACTTCAGTTTTTAAATCAGCCAGCCCGGCGACCTGACAGGAGGCCCGTCCAGGCTTGGCTCAGATGTTTCCTTGTACTAGCAGGGGTTTCCTCTGAGACCAGCAACCCTCCCACCAACTAGATCCTGTCTGGGGAGCTTCTCAGTCTTAGCTTAGAACACCCATCCCCACGTTCTGAGTCAGGGACTCCTCTGGTCTCAACAGAGCCCCTTTGTCCTGTGTTGGGGGCTCCTCCAGTCGCATCTCAGACCCTCTACCTCCCACCCCCCCTTCTGTGTCTGGCAGTATTTTGCCGTGCGCTCCCTAGGCTGGGTGGAGATGACCGAGGAGGAGCTGGCCCCTGGACGCAGCAGCGTGGCTGTCAACAATTGCATCCGTCAGCTCTGCTACCACAAAAACAATCTGCACGACCCCATGTCTGGGGGCTGGGGGGAGGTGAGGGCCCGGCTGGTGGGCTTTGGTGCAGTGGGAAACTGAAGGGAACTGAGAAAGATGGGAGAGCTGAGCTGCCCAGGTGGGGGCTGGGGGAGGGAGATGTGGACCCACCCTAAGTGATAGCCTTATGAGACGGATGTGTGACCCCAGGTCAGGATCTTGGGAGATGGTTGTCTAACCTGGATGGGGATGATAAAAGGAGTAAGCAATGACAGGTGTGACCTCTACTCAAGTGTCACCTGCAGAGTGGGTGGTCTGACACCCAAGCAAGGGTCCCAGAGCTATGGCTGACCTCCTCTGAACTGGAGGTGGCAGAGCTTGGCCACCTTCCCAGCTGGGACACCAAGGAGTGCCTGCTTCCTGGGCCTGCAGGGAAAGGATCTGCTGCTGCAGTTGGAAGATGAGACGCTAAAGCTGGTGGAGCCGCAGAGCCAGGCCCTGCTGCACGCCCAGCCCATCGTCAGCATTCGTGTATGGGGCGTCGGGCGGGACAGTGGAAGGTGGGCGCAGGGCCTGGGGTCCTAGGGTGGGGGCTCATCCAGCAGCCAGAGCGGGGCCCTCCTCCCTAACTCTGTTCTTTGCCTCTCTTGTGCTGCTGGATCCAGAGAGAGGTACTATGCCTATTTACTTCCTCCCTCCTCCCATAACCGCACCCATGCCTCGAAGCACCCAAGTTTCTCTATTCTGCCCTGCCCTTTCCTGCCCACTATGCTTACCCTTTCTCCCTCACCTTGCCATGCTTGCCTGTCTACCCTCCAGCCAGAAGGCAGCACCCACAGGACACCATCTGAGGGCAGAAGCCTTGGAGGAAGGTGTGGGTGTGGTGGGGATGAGGCTTGTTGCTGGATGGCACCGGGAGACACTGATGTGCCCTTCCCCCAACAGGGACTTTGCCTACGTAGCTCGAGATAAGCTGACCCAGATGCTCAAGTGCCACGTGTTTCGCTGTGAGGCACCCGCCAAGAACATCGCCACCAGCCTACATGAGATCTGCTCTAAGGCACGACCCCATCTGCTCTCTGGATTAGCTACCACCTTTACTCTACAAGAGTGTGGGTGGGGTCACTAGTGGGGGTGGGGGGCTCCAGAACTAGGAAACCCTAACAGACCTTCCTTCGCTCCCCTCTTCCTCAGATCATGGCAGAAAGGCGCAATGCCCGCTGCTTGGTCAATGGACTCTCCCTGGATCACTCTAAACTTGTGGATGTCCCTTTCCAAGGTCAGTGTCACAACCCTCCATGTCCAGCTCAGCTTTGTTGGCAAAGGTGGGGTGACCCCAAAAGAGGCACTAGCTACTGACCAGACAAGATAGAAAAATGGACACTAAATTCTCTGGACCAAATGAGTGGAGGGACTTTGGTTAAAGGGAGGAAGTGGGAAAGGGTGGATGGAGGTAGGGCCTTGGCTGGAATGTCCAACTCATGCCCTTGTGATGGGGACTGGGAATGAGCAAGATCTGCCACCATGACTAAGGTTCCTCTTCTTTCCCACAGTGGAATTCCCGGCGCCTAAGAATGAGTTGGTACAAAAGTTCCAAGTCTATTACCTGGGGAATGTGCCTGTTGCTAAACCTGTTGGTATGTATGTTCTCCTTCACTCAGGGACCACCACCTCGATCCCAAAGCTCTTCCTCCCAATGTCTCTTTTACCAGACCTTCCTCATGCTTGATGCCACCCTGTCCTTCAAAATTCTTCCCACCTCCTGTACTTCTGTCCCAGCTGCACTCTGTGTCCTGCCTATCGCAGCAGTTGGCCTCCCTTCACTGAGTGCGAACCAGTGATGCAGGCACATAGGGAGACCCACTCTTGAATCCCACAGAGAAGCTTTGATTGGGGTGGGAGGCAGGTCTTAGATGACTGGAGACACCAGACAGGGGCTGGGAGCTGGATTTGGTATTACAGGACCAACTATGGGCTGTGAGCATCTACAGAGGAAGCAGTGAGTATAATTGCCCATGTGCTTTATTGTTTGAAAACTACTTTCTTATATGTCATTTAATTCTTGATGATCCTGTGAGGTTGTGATTATGATAATCCCCATTTTATAGATAAGAAAGCTGAAAGTAGAGACTATCTGGTTTACTCTGATATTTCCAGTGCACTCATAGTACCTGTTATTTATTTGTTCATTCACTTAGCACCTGTGAAGCCTACCGCCAAGTGCCAGGTCCTGGAAAAACAATGGCCATAGTCCTGCTCTCATGAAGGTTACATTAGGAAAAAACAGGAACTAATCAAATAATCACACAAATAAATGTATAATTAGAAGTTGAGTCATTCATTGAAAGAAAGTAGCAAGGTGCTATCAAACCACATAACAGAGAAACCTCATTTAGTCCAGGGAGTCAGCAAAGACTTACTTAGGAAAGTGACACTTGAACTGAGATTTTAAAAAATGAAGAGGAGCTAGTGTGGTAAAGTGGGATGGAGGTGGGAGTGAGGAGGGGAAGACCATTCCAGGCATAGGGAATGAACAGTGTCTGAGGACCCAGAGCAGAAGGCACTTTGGTTCCTCAAAGGTATTGAGAGAAGTTCAGTGGTGCCAGATGGGGCTGGGGGCTGGGCAGTGGTCAGACCATGTGGAACCTCACGGGCCGTGTGAACATTTGCCCTTCACCCTAAGAACAGCAAGGAGCTCTGGAAGGGTTTTCAGGCGAGCTCTGGGCATAGTCAGATTTGAATTTTGTAAAGCTTACTTTGGCTGTGTCATACATGGGGAATGTTCAGTGGTGGAGACGGATGTGGAGAACTCAGGAGCATCTTGCAGTAGTGGCGGCCGGCATGGGGAATATCTTGGACTCTGAAGGAACTGAGAAGGAGTGTGCCGGTTCAAGAGATATTTAGACAGGTGACAAAGAGAGAGAGAAAGTTAGGCAATTGAAGTCAGTAGGCCTTGGTGATTGATTGAATATGAGGTGAGGGACAGAGGCGTTGAGGGTGACTCCTGGCTTCCTGGCCTTTGAACTGAGTGTGGAGTGGGGCCATTCTCTAAAGGTAGACACTGCAAGAGGCCAGTTTTGGTGTTGCGATTGTGAGTTCAATTTTAAATGCACAGAGTTTGAGGTGCCTTGGGGAAGCTGACTGGCAAACAAGTAGGCATCTGGATTCACAGAGGGGAGGTCTGGACTAGAGACACAAATAGTGGGTGTCCTTGGGTTGTAGAGGTAATCAAGGCCATGAGTATGGAGAAGACTGACTCTAGAAAGTAGGCAGCCTACAGTGAAAGGGAAATGGGGCTAGGCCCAGCCTTGAGGCCCTTCAACACTGAATGGGTGGTGGAGGCAGATGAAACTGCCGGTGATAGTGAGAGCAGGAGGCAAGAGTTCAGAGGAGAAAGACTGCTTCAAGGAGTGGTTGGGTGTCATGTCAAAAGACAGGAAGAACTCAGCCGTGATTGGTGAATGGATAAACAAATGTATGAATGAACGAGACCTGCCTTGGGTAACACAGCCAGAAGATGGTAGTCCTATGGCTCAAACCCTGGGCATCTTCAGTTCCTCCCTCTTCTCCTCAAATCATGCTGACTTTAAAGACCTTACAGTCAGTGAGGGAGCCCTTCTTAGGACGGGTAGGGATTGAGCTGGAGTTTGAGGGAAGGCCGCACTTGCAGAGGAGTGGCTCTTCTGGTTAGACCCAATAGCGCTGCTTCAGATGTAGAGCTGGAGTGAGAAAAGTGTGCTGAGGGAGCAGAAAGGAGGCTCCGCTGACCACTACACGTTCACGCTCATTTCTTCCTCCTACCCTCAGCTTCTAACCCCTTGTTGCCTCTTCCAGTTACTACCCCCACTCGCATATCCACCTGCCACCTTACCCAGGTTCTCACTACACTTAGTCATCTGTCTGCAGCCCTTGACGGCCCGTCTGTTGCCCATTAGCTCAGTGGGTCTGCTTGGTTGAAGCCACGTCATTCACACCAGTAGGCTGGCTCTAAACTCACTTGCTTTATCTTCTCCCTTTTTTAACCTCTGGGAGTTTAACCTTTGCTGAAGCTGCCATATTCATTCACTCAACCAATGACTGCTGACTGTCTGGTTTGTGCCAGGCACTATTCTGGGTTCTTGGTATACATTAATGAGCAAAACTGACAAAGATTCTTGCCTTCAGGTGGCTGACACTCTAGCCAGGAGAGACAGGCAACGAAATAAGTAAGTTATATAGTATGTTGAAGGCAACAACTGGATTGGGAGAGTGGGGCTAGGACTTAGGGTGTAGGTTTCGGTCCTGAGTTGTCACCAACTCAGGCTTTTTCGAGGCCTCGCTCTTCCACTGCTTTCCCCTGACTCCATGCTGATCCTCCCACACTCTGAGGCCAGGCTTCAGCCTCACAGCCTCATCTGCTACTGCTGCTCCCCACCCTCCCCACC